TATTCCAGTTATATATATATATATATATATATATATAACTGGAATATATGAAGAATTCCTATGAATCAGAAGAAATTGACAATCCAAAAGAAAATGGGCAAAAGGCACTTCAGTGGAGTAGAATCCAAATGCCAAACAGGCATATGAAAATATGCTCAACCTCATTCATAATGAGTAAAAGCACAATGAGCTATGACTTCGTAGCTTCCTCAGCCAGGGCTCTCCCTCCCGTCCTCAAGGGACTGCTCTTTGCCTCTTCCCCGTGAGTACAGACCTCCTACTCCATGGTTTTGCCCACTCTATCAGTTACTGACTTTTCCTCCTATATGTTCAACCTTTCCCTTTCTTTTGACTCCTCCACAGCATAAAGAATTGCTCAAGTATTTCCCATAAATTTAAAAAATATCACTCCTTTGATACCCTATCTCAGCTTCCAAATTTATGCATCCAAACTCATGAACCTTCACCATTACCAGCCATATGTTGAACGACTGCCTTATCATACTGCTACCCTTCAGAGCCCAAATTCTCAGGATTGTGTTTGATCCCGTTGTTTCCACCACAGGCTTCCACCCTTCAGGCCACCAAAATGCTGCCTCTCACCATGTCACTGCACACACGTGGCCGTCCTCCCTGACACAGTCCTTCTAGGCTGCTGTGCTACCAGTCTCCTCTTTCCCCACGCCAAAGATGTTTCTTCTCAGTATTCTTCTGCTGCTTCTTCCTAAAAAGTCCCTGGAGTGCTTTTCTCAGCCTCCTTCTCTTTTATTTTTGTTTTGAACATTCTTCCTTTGTGATCTTGTTCCTTCTTACTTTTCATGTCTACTTAAGAGCTAAGGATTTCCGAATCTATATCTCCAACATGTGCTTGATACATAGTAGGTACTTTAAATCATGAAGCTTCCTACTAAAAAGAGTCAGCACAGAATGTGATTCCATGTGATTAAATGCCTAATTTTAGCTAAGATGCTGCATGTTTAAGCAAAAGTACTTACAATTAAAAAAAAAAAAGACTGGGTATAGCATGAGTTTATTCAATACCAGATTTTGCTAAGAGAGAAAAATTAGAACAATTTTAAAATGGTTGGCACAAATCTTTGCCTATGGAATCATGGTACTCATAAGGCAAAAGTCTTTCAACATTGATAGGACCCACTGTATATTTCATTTTTCATGAATTGTGTGCAATGATTTAGATTAGGGGTTGGTAAATCATGACTTGCAGGCCAAATCTGGCCCACCATCTGTTTTTGTAGATAAAGTTTTATTGGAACATATACATATCCATTCAATTACACATTGTCTGTGGCTGTTTTCATGCTACAGTGGCAGAACTGGGCAGCTGCAGCAAAGATTCTATGGCCCACACAGCCGAAACTATTTGCTGTCTTGTCATTTCTATTAAAAGTGTGCCAGACTTGACAAAGATCAAACCTTTCTATCGTTAATATATCCCTTTAAAATGGCAAGTTGTGTAAGTTATATTTTCTAAAGGAAGGATAAATCCTAGATGTGAGAAAGCCCTCCCCATCTAGGTATAAAAGCAGTAGGTTATATCATAAATAAGAACTACTTTTCTCTGAGACTTAGTTGAAAGAACTATATTGATATCATTAAATTTATTACTTAAGTGGCTTAAATAATCAGAGGCAGGAAACTGTTGTGCTATTTTGTAAGATCTCATCCCCTAGGATGACTTAAGTAGGAGGAATGTGGGTATTGGAGCTTCCAGAAAAGCAATACAATCAACACAAAAGCCACTGGGATTCTTGCCTTGTCTGCCGGTGTTAACCTGGCCCAGGGCTTGTCTGCTCGGCGGTCATAGTCGGGAGAATCTGTGACTTCCACGTACTCGTTAAATCGCAGGATCCTTCGAGCTTGTAGCTCTGCCACCGTGGGTCTCAGGCTGAGCTGCAGGAGGACAAGGAAAAGGGCACAGTTCAGTAAACCACTTACAGCCGCATGGTGGCAAGTTTTCTATAGAGAACGCTTCAAAGTTATGGTTAAATAAGGTCACTTTCAGGTTAACAAAAAAAAAAAAAAAAAAAAAAAGAAAAAAAGGCAACAGCATCCTGGGAATTTTTAATGAGAACTAGAAAGCAGTGTGCCCTAATTTTTGAGACTATAAAAAAATCATCATTTTAGGTAGGTCACAATCTTTGGCAAGCACCTGCATTATGCTGCTTCCCCCAACTTGCCTGGCACTGTGATAAAGTTCTGTCATCCCTGACGCAAGGAACATGCAATGCACAGACACAATAGTAACCCAGATAAGGAATGGCTGGTTTGGTGATTGAATTAGCAAGACAAAAGTCACGGAATTTTTAGAAATGGAAATAAAAACCTGTTCCTATAATATTAAGCCCACACATTCAGAAATGCACAAAGTTATGACATAGAAAGGGTCCAATAAAGGGTACACCTATAGCACCGCTGTCCTTAAGATATTCATAATAAGGATAAGGCCCCAATCGGACACATGCCCTCGGCCAGAAAAGCCAATGTACAAGAATGGGGACAGGAGAGTTGATGGAGAACTGTACTTCCTTGAGGCCATCACTGCTTAAAATCAACTCCAACCTTAAAGATACTTCTAACTACTTGGGTTCTTTTTTGCGGTCTTTGTCAAATTCAAATTTGTAACTGTATTGCTTTTCCCTCTGAGTCCGTTCTCAAACTCAAGAATAAGACTGAAATGATTCTAACAGGTGAAAGAAAGTTGGCCCCTGGTAAACATGCATCATCTACTCTCTGCTACTGAGGTTCACTCTCTTTTTGCCCTTTCTTAGTTGGGTGGTATCATAGTTATCTCCAGAGAGGTAGACTTAGACCTCTATGTTAGCCAAGGGGCCCATTTTCATATCTTTTCTCTTATATGTACTCTGTATACAGCCAGACTACTCATCATCTAAGTGGTCCACTTTGGAGATATTGCTTATTTATTTATTTAAACAAAGTGGGGATCTCTCTATGTTGCCCATGCTGGTCTTGAACTCCTGGGCTGAAGCAATTATCCCATCTCAGCCTCCCAAAGTGCTGGGGTTTCAGGTATAAGCCACTGCATCTGTCCAGAAATATTCCTTATTTTGCACTGGGTCTACATCCTGTAGTCATTAACAGCCCTTTCCTGTCAATTTCCTCCTGAACTAAGCCAATATTCGAATATTCAAAGCACTCAAGGACTTTTAGAAGGCCTAGACCCATACCCTGAGCCCGTTTGAGCTGGAATGTCCCAACTATGGCTCCCTTTATCTTCATAGAGCCCTAGTAGGCAATGGACAAGAGAGAGAATAATCTAATGATCTGTTACACTGTAGTTGCTGCCCAATCTATATTGCTAGCTTCTTGTTGCCACTTTGGGGCAGGCGGAAACAAGGAGGGAGAGAAGCCGTTGCTCCTGAGGACTGGCTAGAAGGAAAGTGGCCAATGGCAACAAAGGTTAGAAATTCTCCATCCAGTCTTGTCTTCAGGACTGTGCCAATCACGAGGTAGCTACCAGTGCTACAGGCTGACCTACACCTACATGCTTCTGTTGCAGACTCCCTGGCCAGCCCATGAAAATGTGGGTCAGGTCGCACTTCATGGAGAGGTCACGTTTTAGTCACTTCATCCTTTTTTAGGTGCAAAAGGTATGTCTGAAGAACTATTAGGATTTGTAATGAAATATAAACTCTGATGGTGCTTAATTTTTCCAAAGGCTATTATTATTTTAACACAGAACAAAGTGATGGCCCTAACATCAGATTTATATATTCATAGATAGGTGGCAACAATTGTCTGAGTTTGGGAGGTAAGACATTTGTCAATCTGAGTAGCACTGTAGCAGGCAGGCTGGATGATCAAGTTCACATTATAAATTAGTTACCCAGCTCTGATGGAATAGTGGGAAATCTTCAGGAGTAACAAAATATTTATTTATTTAATTTATTTTTATTTATTTATTTAATATTTCCAACACTAAATGGAAAGTGCAAGCATTTTAAGGAATAATTTTTACTATAATTTTACTATAATTAAAAACTTTTTTCACTTCTTTTTTTTCTTTTGCTTTTTTTTCTTTGTTCTAATCAAATGAGATTAATTTTTAATTAATTTTTTTTTTTTTTTTTTTTTTTTGGGAAACAAGGTTGAGCTATGTCGCCCAGGCTGGTCTTGAACTCCTGGGCTCGAGCAATCCTCCTGCCTCAGCTTCCAAGTAGCCGGCACTACACGTGCGTGCTACTGCACCTGGCTCAAAACAATTTTTAAAAATAGAAATATATGCATTGAAATGTTAATAATGGCCATCTCTGAATGAAAGACATATAATTTTTTATTTTTCTTTTTTTTGTAGCTTTAAAGATTTTCATACAGAGTACATATTTTCATAGCGTAAATGCAATTTTAAAACCCTTGACTGTTAATTTATCAAAATTTATACAACATACAATTATAAACATCATTTATAGCATGTGCATTATATTGATTTTTTTTTTTTTTTTTTTTTTGAGACAGAGTCTCACTGTATCTCCCAGCCCGGAGTGCAGTGGCACATCAGGTCACAGCAACCTCTGCCTCCAGGTCTGAAAGCAGTCTTCCCACCTCAGCCTCCTGAGTAGCTAGAACTACAGTCATGTGCCACCAAGCTGGCTAATTTTTGTACTTTTTGTAGAGATAGGGTTTCACCATGTTGTCCAGGCTGGTGATTTTGATGTTTACGATTACAGACTAATAGGAGCAATTATTCCTAAACATCTGATTTACATATATAAAGAAGATTTGTATTTTTAAAAAACACAAAGTATGTCTCAAAACACGTATGTTCACTAATAGTCACGATTTCATCACCTTTCTGCTGAGTCTGCGTTTAAGTTCCATTTTTGCTTCTTGTTCCTCTTCTTCATTCTTTTCTGTTTATTAAAGGGGGAAAGTCATAGTGACAGTTACTATAGATGATTTTATAATCAGAAAAATATATCAGGCCACAATCATGTGACTCTAACAAATAATGATCAAATACGACACCAACATCATTAACAAGTTGTCAAAAGATTTTTTAGAAAGGTTGATCATCGTATACACACACATACCCACACACACACGTATATATGCATATGTTTTTTTTTTTTTTTGTAGGACTGGTTTACTAATTTTAAACATTTTAAATGTCTTGTTCTATGCTTAAAAAAAAAAAACCAGGAATGTCCATGTTCTAATGAAAGCCCTCTATTGCTGATCATCTCATGAGCTTATAAGCACAATTTACCAGAATTCAGATAAAAATTTACTTCTGAATCTGGCCTTCATGTGAAAATCTGAGACATATTAAAAGAGCAAATTAGAACCATCCGATGCATGTCTGAGCTGCTGATTTCCATTCAAATCCAACCAAAATATTTGATCTGTCTTCCTTGGTTTCCATAGAAGCAGAATGTAAGCATTTCCTTGGACTTTGCTTTCAAACCAGAATGTTCTAAATGAGGTTATGATGTACTGTGGGTGGAAATTATTTATTTTCTTGTGACTTTGCCTTTCCAAAGTCTTCTCTTTCTCTAGTGATTCACCAAGTAGTACAATTTTATGCTGCCCAACAGATGGGATTTAAAGAAAAATGTCCAAAATTTTTAAAGAAATAAACACCCTTCAGGTTTTGCTGTTTGTTGCTTACTAGAGGAACTTCTCTCTGTTGCTTCCTTTAGCTCATCATCTGTTCTATCAGCGAGCATACATTTTGCTTCTTGGATACTGATGCTTATGATAGACTGTGTTTTAGAAAGTGCTATTATGAACTCTTTTGAAGGAAAATCACATTGCATAAAGATTTGACCAAAAAGTTGAAAAAAGAAAACTTCTTCTGTTTATTTACTTTTGTTTTATTTTTTGGGGTGGTGGCATGGTCTTGGCTCACTGTAACCTCTGCCTCCCAGCTTGAGTTAAAAATTTTTTTTTAAATCCATGACAGGTATGAAATATATTTATTTTAAAATTCAAATAGACTTCTTACAACTAAGACTATTCTTATTGTAAATAAAATATCAGTATTCAATATTTGCAACATGCATATTTGTTAATTGAACAGGTTAAATTCTCTATCAGTTTTCCTTCTCTGAACGGGGAAAAGATTTTGTGTTCTTCTGAAATAATAACTTGAATGCATAAGAAAGAAGGTGATTAGACAAAGAGTGAACATAAACTGTAATCACCCACAAGACAAGAAACGAGTTAATATCCTGTCATTTTGTGCCAGTCAAACAAATTTTGTTATAATTTACATTTGTTCCTGTGAAAGTACTGTAGGTTTTTAATTGCTTCTCAAAATACATACCCTTTCATATCCTTAAAAATGCATACTTAGGTTCAAGAATTACCTCATATGAGTTGGATGAAGCTTGTGAATTTTCAAAATACATAATAAACAAACATCACACTGTGGTTCCTGTGATTCAAACCAGGGCTTTACAAGGCGATGTGATAGTGAAAATAAAAATAAAATTGTTGATATTGTTGATAAAAATGGATGATATTGTTAGTGATATTGATGACATTTAAGGAAAATGTAATTCTTTTTTTTTTTTTTTTGAGACAGAATCTTGCTTTGTTGCCCAGGCTAGAGTGCAGTGGATCTCGGCTCACTGCAACCTCCATCTCTCAGGTTCAAGTGAGTCTCCTGCCTCAGCCTCCCTAGTAGCTGGGATTACACGTGCATGCCATCATGTCCAGCTAATTTTTTATATTTTTAGTACAGATGGGGTTTCACCATGTTGGTCAGGCTGGTCTCGAACTCCTGATCTCAGGTGATCTGCCTGACTTGGCTGGGAAAATATAATTCTTAAAACATTTTTGTCAATTCTTATGCAGTGTTTATGCTATATTTTTAAGGTACTTTTCAAAGATGAAAATATTGGCTATAATATATCCCAAAGCTAACGAATACTCCAGTCTTCAATAGATATGCAAAAATGACATTTCCTTCAAGGGAATATTAGAAAGTTTTGCCTTATTAAGCATATTGTACAAGTAGTGCTACTTGGTAAAAGTGATGTCTGAAAAGAGACAGGCCAACTGCAGTTAGAGAACTGAATTCATTTTTGACGTCAGGAACTGACTTCTTTGCATTTTCCATGTTTGAAGTTGTACTTTCAGTGAAGTTAGAGGAGGAGGGTGAGAGGTAGAGGGAAGCCAACATGACTGTTCCTCTGAATCCTCATTTTTATTTTTATTTATTTGTTTTTTTTTTTAGATACAGTCTTGCTCTGTCACCCAGGCTGGAGTGCAGTGGCATGATCTTGGCCCACTGCAACCTCTGCCTCCCGGGTTCAAGAGATTCTCCTGCCTCAGTCTCCCAAGTAGCTCAGACTACAGGCACCTACCACCAGACCCAGCTAATTTTTTGTATTTTTAGTAGAGATGGGGTTTCATCACATTAGTCAGGATGGTCTCAATCTCCTGACCTTGTGATCTGCCCGCCTCAGCCTCTCAAAATGCTGATATTACAGGCATGAGCCACAGCGCCTGGCCTGAATCTTTATTTTTATTTTGTAGAGATGGGCTCTCCCTGTGTTGCCCAGGCTGGTCTTATCTCCAGGCCTCAAGTGATCCTCCTGCCTTAGCCTCCCAAGTAGCTGGGATTACCAGCATGAACTACCATGCCAGCTTCTCTGAATCTTATTTAACAGTCATTGTAAAATCTGTCATAAAGTCAAGATTAAACCTTAAACTCAGAATTTAAAAATTCACCAAGTTTTTTGTATGCTTCCTTCATTTTTGATTCACTAAAGGACTAATTATAAAGTAGAATGTAAATCTTCTGGTCAATTTAAACAGGTTGGAGGGATATTCATGAAGGAAGTGAGGTGGTTCATTGACAAATCTTGCTCTCAGTGACTCTCATCAGAGTAGAGACGGGCGAATATTTCTGACAAGCCGCAGGAAGCGTTTTCCATAAATAAACAAATAAAAAATGTGGTTAAACATCAACGGGTACTGCAGGAAACTCGCCTGGTGAGCAGTGCTACCCAGATAATTTTGTGGATGAGCTAAAAGGAGAAGAAAGAAAAGTACAAAAGTACCAGCAACTGGAATATTATATTCTTGAGTTGTTAATTCAGATAAAATGGGTTCAAAAAGCCAAAATTTGTTGTGGGTTTGTTTCTCTTTTTACTTTTTACATGTTTCCATGTAGATTTTTTTTTTTTTCCCAATTTTTGGTGGAGATGAGATCTCACTATATTGCCCAGGCAGGTCTCAAACTCCTGGCCTCAAGCAATTCTCCTGCCTTGGCCTCCCAGGGCTTGGAGACTGCATGGATAAGCCACCTTACCTGGCCTCATGTGGGTGTTTTTAACACATTAAAAAAACATGCATAAACTTAAAGTGTGTTTAAAAAAGCTGGATCAACAGATGCACAGATATGTCATAAAGCAAGATGTTAATGATAGACTATAGATGGTAGATATAGGGGGATTTACTGTAAAATTCCTTCAACTTTTCTTCGTGTTTAAAAATTTCCATAATAAAATATTGGGGAAAAATACATGCAGAATTCAATGTCCTAATATATTTTTCTCTATAGAAGATATAGCTAGAATTACATTCTTAGCTAAATACATCACCTTTCTTGATTAGCAAAAGTTTACTTTTAAGTACCAAAAGTTGCTTTTTATTTTATCAGTTTGTAGGAACTGGTTCTAAAATGCATGACTAAATATATATATATATATATATATATATATATATATATATATATTTTTTTTTTTTTTTTAAAGTTCTAGTGTCACCAAAATAATTAGAAAAGACATTAAGTAAGCGGTGGTACGGGGCATGACACTAAGAAATATCATTTTTCTTGTGGTCACCAATGAAAGCTAATGGTATTTATTTGCATCTGACTCATGTTTATTAAACTCAAGGGCTCTAAAAATTGTTGAATGTTTTATTCTGTGAATTAGTTTTCTAGTTTGTCAAGAAAAGATGATCTAGTTAGGGCTGGGACAGTGGCTCATGTCTATAATCCCAGCACTTTGGGAGGCCGAGGCGGGCAGATCACAAGGTCAGGAGTTTGAGACCAGCCTGGCCAACATAGCAATACACCATCTCTACTAAAAATACAAAATTAGCCAGGTGTGGTGGTGCATGCCTGCAGTCCCAGCTACTCCGGGTGGCTGAGGAAGAAGAATCACTTGAACCCAGGAGGCGGAGGTTGTGGTGAGCCAAGCTTGTGTTTCTGCACTCCAGCCTAGACAACAGAGTGAGTCTCCATCTCAGAAAAAAAAAAAAAAAAAAGATGACCTAGTTAAAGTAAGTGTCCTTAAAAACCACACTGTACCACACACTTTTCTACTATTCTTGAACAAAAGCTGGAGATGAAACATACCAACAAACAAACAAATGAGCAATCTATGTGGAAGAACCAAGAAAGAGGCAAACGGGCTGAGTGGAGTGTAAGTTAGGCCGTTCAGCTTCCTGTGACTGCTCAGGGAAAGATGACCTCCCCCAGTTTTCTTCTGCTTTCCTTGGCTGTACAATACTGGGTCAGGAGATCATAAGCCAACTTACCAGCCTCTCCAGACTGGAAATATGTCTCCGTTTCCAGAAATAAACATGCTTAGGTGAACTTAGAAGGAAGGGAAAAAAGGCTGGAGTCAAATCTGAAGTGTCTCTCTCACTCTTTCTTCCAGGAAAACAAGATATAAAGGCCAATGCAACACTTAAGATCAATGTGTGATAAGTTTCTAGATCCATGAAACAGTTCCTCAAATAACTAAATTCCAGTGTGGTTTGGCACTGTTAATCTCACAGGATCAAGAAATATTTACCTAAAAACTGGTCTTCCTTTTTTTTTTTTTGTTTCTAGGTATTGGATCAGGCATCCAGCAAGACATAATCTCCATGGTTTTTAGGAGCTTAGGGTCTGCATTTGAGCTTGCTTAAAACTGAATAAAACAAGTATTTCCCAGGAACCTATCATGGAAAGCAATGAATCTTTCTGGTTTATTATCAAAATTAGATGCTGCTTCTACTCTTCCTCAGAAAAGCAAAAGCATAAAATTTTCCTTCTTTTCTAACCACAAATGTTTCCTCCTCCAAATTGGCTTTTCTGTACATTTGTAGCCACTTAAGTTCTTCTTGGGACTGTATTCTAGTTATGTTCCAAAAAAGCCAGAAAAAAGCATTTTGAAGAAAGTGATCCCATAGACTGGGTGGATGGTAGTTCATATTCGTTGTTGAATTGATTTCACGCTAACAACTGTAATACAATATGCTACTAAAAACTTTCTTTCCTAAAGGAAAGAAAGTAACTTGGATTGAAGAGGAGGGGTCTTCTGGCAGGCCAAGATAACTCAAAAAGCCTGGCTGACAAGGATTTCCCGCACACCATGGGTCATTATTATTGCAGTACTATCCGGAGTTTTAACCATGTTCTTTGATAGTTCATGCAATAAAAAGATCTTTTGAAAACGGGTTAACAATATATAAAACTACAGCTAGGCTCAATTTAAAAATATCTGTTTCTCAACTCACTGCCATGTCTGACCACCTTGACAGACAGTAGCATGATAAACTTCATTTCTACTAGTTTTCTAGCTTTAACATACTAACTCCAATAAATACTACTGCATGGATGAGTGAAAACTAAAGTCAGAGGGAATAGAGGGAAAAATAGGAAGATGAATGGAGAACTTTTTAGTGCTGAGACATTATAAGCAACTCAAGAAGGAATCACAACATAGGAAAAGAAATGGATTGAAAATTTTGTTTTGAGTCATTTGTTAAACTAGCAACAAACTATATTATTAATAATAATATAGGAATGTTTGATTTATTTCTTTGCGGATTCTTTTGGCCCCTACTTTGACTTTTATTTGCAGGAAGACTAGAGCATTCTTTTTCTGTTTAATATGTGGGTGAAAGAATACATGGAATATATTTCATCTTTCTTAAACACAATTGTTATGACCGTGACTCTGGTCTGGGGAGGGGTGGATATAAGGCTCAAAGCCATAAAATAAAATACATAATTCAAGAAATTAAAAAAATATATAAACAATTACATGTAAATGTAACATAAATGGACCATTTCAGTCCATCATGAGTAAATGAATATATAATGGTTTCTTACTGATAAATGCATCATCTGTAGAGGCAGCTTGCTAATGATTACACAAGGAATCATTCTATAGTGTAGAATACTCACGTTTTAGGATGTTTCTTTGCTCTAATTCTTCAGACGTGGGCCTCTGGCTCAGCCTCCTATGATGACAAAAGGATATATTAAGGTTACAAACAAGGTACCCTAGTAGGAGACTCAAAATAAAACAACGAAGTTCTATTTTTCATGTTTTGAGACAGAAAAATCCATTTTTAAAGCTGCAAAATAAAAGTCTCCTTCTCATTCGTTTGGACACTACGGATCATGGCTGAGGCTGCTCACTGACCCCCATCACGCAGTCTCCCATCCTTTTAGCAACAGATAGGCCTGAATGTTAGCTAGGCACCCGACTACAGACTTCTGCCTCCCTAGAAGCCAGGTGTGATGTTGTGATTGGGTTTCTGCAATGGGATGTGAGCAGAATGATGTTTGTTGTTTCCCCTTCTCATCCTTAAAATGCCTGGGTGTGTGTTCCCTTTTTTCTTTCTTTTTTCTGCAGGCTAGAACTTCAGCATGGTGGTGTGAGCCAGCTTTGATCATGCAGATGAGACCATTCAGAGGGATTGGAGAGCAGCAAGACAGAAGGAACATGGGTGCTAGGCTGACCTCAAGAAGCTGTGCTCCCCCTCATGCTGGATGGCCCACTTACCTGGGCACTGTCATGTGAAGAGGATACACACATGCTTAGTTTGAACCACTGTAGTTTTTGGCCTCTGTTACAGCTTATCTTATAGCCCAAATAATATACAGCACATTAGGGTCTACAACAGGCTGTTGTTCAATCGTTCCCACCAACTGAGATGACCAATCTGTGCTGCACAGTGGTATAAGTGAAATGCCGCTTTGGGACCTCAGATGAATATATTATATATAAAGTTATAGGTCCTTCCCATCTGTCTTCAAGAAAACCAGGCATGTTTGTGATTAGTCGCTATTTGTACATGAGAGCTGAATGTCCTAATAACCTTTTATAACTTAGTTCTTGGTCTTGTTTACATTATTAATTTATTGTTAATCAGGGAGAAAAACTTTGTCTCTGGGCATAGGCTGAATTGTGCAAATTAAATGAAAATACATAAAAAGTACTTTTTTTTTTTTTAAAGAGAAAGGGTCTGACTCTGTTGCCCAGGCTGGAGTGCAGTGGTATGATCATGACTCACTACAGCCTTCAACTCTTGGGCACAAACAATCCTCCTACCTTAGCCTCCCAAGTAGTTGAGACTATAGGCATGTACCACCATGCCCAGCTAATTTTGCTTATTTATTCTTGTAGAGATGGGGTCTTGCCATGTTGTCCAGGCTGGTCTTGAACTCTCGGCCTCAAGCGATCCTACTGCCTCAGCTTCCCAGGGTGCTGGGATTATAGGTGTGAGCCACCGTGCCTGGCCGGGTAATCTTAACATAAGATAGTACTACTAATTCTAAATGTTTATGGCTATGACAGAAATGGTAAGAAGCATTGAAATTAATGATACTTTAAATATCTCATTAAAATGTTCGTTAAACTGTGATCTTCATCAGAGCTACCTTGAAACTAATTTAATTGAGCAGACAAAAGAACATATTGAATATCTACATCTATACCAGCCAGGTTTTCTGCCATCCATATCCCCATGTATCCTGTGCTACACAGCTGTACTATCAATATGCTGTACTCTATACTATGCCCACAATAAACCACGCTTTTTTAATTTATGGTATCTCCACCCTCTGGGTTGTCTTTCTCTCCTTTTCCATCCACTGAAACCTTACAGATGATTAAAATAATATCTTGAAGATAGGTATTTGGCATCTCCTGAAAATGAGAATTAAAGGCTCCTGGTTCTTTGTTCATTTACAGCATTTTATAAACAGACTATACATCTATTAAAACACTTATCACAGTTAATTATAAAGATAATAATTACAGCTATCATTTAGTCAGTTTTAAAAATCCAAGTACTGTGTGTGCTAGGTGTTTACATGATCTTGAATCCTTAAAACAATTCAGCAAGGTAGCAGCCAGATCCAATTTTACAGCTGAGGAAACGAAAGATGAGGAATGCCTAAGGTAGAACACTAGTAAATGCTAGCACCAGAATTCATACTCAAATCCTTTGACTTGGATGTTTGTGCTTTTCACATGACCCCATCATGCAACATATAATTCTGTCTCTCATTAGACATGGAGTTCTCTATGGCTGGAACTGTGGGTGATTTATCGTTCAATGACAGTGATTAGATGTGCTTTGTTTGTACAAAAATAATTCTGTAAAATTTACATTTTAATAACAGTGAAAACTCTGATCTATTAACTTTTTATTTTTTTGTGAGACAGGGTCTACCTTTGTCGCTTAGGCTGGAGTGCAGTGGCGTGGTCTCAGCTCACTGCAACCTCCACCTCCTGGGCTCAAGCGATCCTGCCACCTCAGCCTCGCAAGTAGCTGGGACTGACTACAGGTGCATGCCACTAATTTTTTTTTTTGGTAGAGGTGGGGTTTTGCCATATTGCCCAGGCTGGTCTCAAACTTCTGGGCTCAAGGGATCTACCATCTCATCCTCCCAAAGTGCTGGAATTATAGGCATCAAGCCACCATGCCCAGCCCATTGACTTCTTTTTTTTTTGAGACAGAGTCTCACACTGTTGCCCGGGCTGGAGTGCAATTGCATGATCTCGGCTCATGGCAAACTCTGCCTCCCAGGTTCAAGCGATTCTCTTACCTCAGCCTCCCAAGTAGCTGGGATTACAGGCACCCGCCACCACGCCCAGCTAATTTTTTTTTTTTTTGTATTTTTAGTAGAGACGGGGTTTCACTATGTTGGCCAGGCTGGTCTTGAACTCCTGACCTCGTGATCTGCCCGCCTCGGTCTCCCAAAGTGCTGGGATTACAGACATGAGCTACTGCATCTGGCCCATTGACATTTTTGATAGATATAGTCTATGTATTTACAAAGGCTTTTGAACTTTTGGGGGTTGCAATGGAATCCTAATCTGTAAGAGAGACAGAAGCTGTCTCAGTTGGATTGTTAGATCAGAGATGGAGAAGGAGCCTCCCGTATCAGCTCAAACATACACCTATACTCCCATCCCAACTCAAATACACATTTACACTCCCGTCCCAGCCCAAATACACACCTTCACTTCCCTGGCTCTTCCAGGAGATGTATATGTATCATTTCCAGGGCCTCCTTGATGAAGTGTTTAGAAAACTGGTACTTTATGGGATTCCCCAGTGTCAGCTTCTCAGTATTTTCATTGGTCCCTTGTTTTTGAGCATTTGGTATGTTTTAATTTGTCGTTGCTATAAAAGCCTTGTAATAAACATCTTTGTAAGACTTAGCATTTCCTCCTTTTGGATTATCTCCTTTTTATATGGTCCTCAAATGGAATTATCATCCAAAGAAACAGGCTGCTTCATAATTCTCATATCATACTGTTAAACTGTTCTTCAGAAATACTGAAAAGGTGCAATGTATATGTGTCCTATTTGCCCATAAACTTGCCAACATCGGGTTTTAAGTTTTTTTTTTATTTTTTTTCTTCTTTTTTTAAATGAGACAAGAGTCTTACTCTGTCACCCAGGCTGGAGTGCAGTGGCACAATCTCAGCTCACTGCAACCTCTGCCTCCTGGGTTCAAGCAATTTTCTGCCTCAGCCTCCCGAGTAGCTGGGATTAGCTGGGATTCTAGGCGCCCGCCAACACATCTGGCTAATTTTTTTAGTTTTAGTAGAGACAGGGTTTCACCATCTTGGCCAGGCTGGTCTTGAACTCCTGACCTCATGATTCACCCACCTCAGCCTCCCAAAGTGCTAGGATTGCAGGCGTGAGCCACCACGCCTGGTAGGTTTAATTTTTAAATGTGCTTTAGTGGTTTAACTGCTGTATAATAATTTAAATTAAATTAATAATAAGAAAATTTTTTTGAGTGCTTGCTATGACCCAGGTACTAAAGTACCTTAAGTGTATCATCTCCTTTAATCCTCCCAAGCTCTTGGGTTAGTTAGTTCTGTTTTACAGATGGGGCCAAGCAGGGACTATTTCCTGCCTGGTCCTAGATTGTATTTCTACCAGTTCTGGATCAGCACCCACTTGGATGTTGAATAACCACCTCTCACAATGGCTACGGTCATGATGATTTTCATTAAATTTATCAAAGCCCCAAATATCTTTTCAATCTGTGGCCACAGGCCTCTCATCCTATCTTGGCAGATGCCTTTTCTCTGGCGCACACTGAAAAAGGTGACATTTATTTCTATTAGGTTTCATTTTATAGAATGAATCCATCTACCCTGATTCTATAAAGTATATCTATTGTCCCTCAAACTTCACACCACCCATTTGTTTAACTTGTCTGCTGATTCTTCTTCATTGATAAAAATGTTTACTCTCTCTCCATTTAGTTACACATTCCTCCATTTCTTCCATTATGATTTTCTGGAAAAGGATTTCTTGGGCCTGGAGTTAAGAGAATAGCTAAGTATTTAAAATGTGGTTGTTGCTATTACTGTGAATGCAATCTCCCCTTTTCATTTTATTTTCTTCTATGTATCAATGTTGTATAAATATAATGTTGATTTTTTAATAGGTTAATCTTAGGCAAACCTGCTGAAATTATTACATATAGCAATTTTGGGTCAGTTTTTAGAGTTTTCTAGATATATAATGATGTATAATAATGGTATATCTTTCCTATAATTTATACCTTTTCTTTGCCACAAATAATTGTGACCAGACTTTTAGTACAGTAAGGTTAAGGAATTTTTGTTTGCTTCTATTTTTGAAGAAAATGGCTTTAGGGTTTCTCCCTATAGTAAGATATTTAGCATTATTTTATTGAGACGGAATCTCACTCTGTTGCCCAGGCTGGAGTGCAGTGGTGTGATCTAGGCTCACTACAACCTCTGCCTCCCAGGTTCCTGCCTCAGCCTCCTGAGCAACTGGGATTATAGGTGCCCATCATCATGCCTGGCTAATTTTTGTATTTTTTGTAGAGATAGGGTTTCACCATGTTGACCAGGCTGGTCTCAAACTCCTGATCTCAGGTGACCTGCCCATCTTGGCCTCTCAAAGGGCTGGGACCACAACACCTCATTTGTTTAGAATTTTAACAAAACTTACACGATTTTCTTTACTGCTGCTTTGGCATTTATTGAGGTGGGTATATGATACTTCACACTTTTTACTCCTATGATAAATGATGAGGATATTCTGTTTTTAAGGGATATACCCTATTTGCATTATTATTTTATGCAAATATTATTCAATGATTTAAATTCTTCTTCACGGCAAAACATAAACAAGAACAATAAAACAATCAGGAAACCTAGAAGCATATACTCTCTTACATGGGGTAGAAAGCACAAAACAGGAGACAGTATACAAAAGAAAACTGGGCAGAGAGCCCAGGAGCTGAAATTCTACTTCTGGTTCTGCTACTCAGTAACTGCCTGTCCTTGAGAAATTTCCTTAATCTCTCTGCGCCTCAGAGAGGCCCCTTGTTTTTCCTTGGTAAGATGACAAGTTTAGACTTGTAGGTTTTTCCAGCTCGATACCATTAATCACTTTAGTCCCTCTTGCTTCTGCTGGCTCTTTCCCTGAAGCCAGAAATGGTCACAGGTTAGGGCTGAATTAAGAAGATGAGAGTGAGAAAGACCTCTGGTGAACATTCCCGAATTTCTCCCAGAGTCATAAGAGGGCTTCTGGAGCAGAGAGACCGTCTAAGCCTCCCACTGGGTTCCCTGGTAGGCTGTGCTTTTCCTTCAGATGGACGCCACAGCTGCTGCCTCTGACATCTGTCTGCACATCTCAGCCCTAAGGAGGTACCTTAGGGGTTAGTCTTCCTCTGGAGAAATGGTCAACAGCCTCCGTGCCAATCCTGCCCCCAGTTATATCACTTCCAAACAAGAACAGCAATTCTCCCCCACCTCCAAATCCTGCTCTGGGATTCTAGACAGTTCCTTTCTCCCAGTTACGCACTGTGTTGTGTATGCAGATAAGATAAGTCAGCAGAACAACTAATTCTTACATGTGTTCAAACTGATCATTAAACGTAAGAACTTTGACATGAATGAATACTCACTTCTGTTAAAACTGACAGTTAAATGGACTTGTAAAGTCACTAGCGGCAAAAGCAAAAATCCAATACAATGGTTGAAGGCAGGTAGAGATGTCAGATAACCCATTTACTCGAAGTTGCAAGGGGGAAGTGTAGAAATGAGGGCTATGGTTACCTGACTTCGATGGAGCCAGACCATGGAAGGGAACTACTATTTCTACAGTCTCACAGTCCACAGGGCAGAACCTCATGGCATTCACAGGAATGCTAGTGAGTTCAAAAATTAGGCCAGGATTGTTGAGCAAACTGATCTGTAGGCCAAATCCAGCTTTAAGAATAAATAAAGTTTTATTGGAACATGGCCACACTCGTTTGTTTGTCTATTATTTATGTCTGCTTTTATTCTACAGCAGCACAGCTGAGTAGCTGCAACAGAGACTGTCTGGCCAGCAAAGCCTGAAATGTTTGCCAACTGGTCTTTAAAAAAAAGTCTTTTGACCCCTGGAATAGGCTTTGGCGCCCTCAAAGCCACTGGCTAGCTGGGCCAAAGGATGGGCTCTTTGAGTAGTTCATCATCCAAGACCAACTTTAAAAGACCCGATGGGCCAGGTCTACCTGTACATAAGGAATTCACAATGACCCCAGTTAGGTAGGAAGCTTCTGAAGGTGAAAAATACAAATGAGTCAGTAGTGTCCTAAAATGGTAGCAATTACCTGACTAACTTGGTTCCAATCTGTTGTCGGATTTCCTGCCTCTCTTCTTCAGATGTACGCTGCAAGATGTTTTTGTCCTCTAATTCTTTCTTAGATGGTCTGTTGCCAAGTTTGATAGCAAGAGTATCCCTCCGTCGGATTTTACTTGCCAAAGCACCTGAGGATTGAAAAAGAGCAGAAATGCAGAGAGTGAGGCTTTTAGCCGGTGGCACTCGGGTTACACATGGCATGGTCTTTACGTAGAGCCTAGACCAAATTCTTTATCCTCATGCAGGAGGAGAATCTTAATTAACCTAAGGAAAAAAAAAGACTGAGTTGGATGAAGTTCATTTTGAAAACATTGAAGAGCTATTTCTTTTTAATGTTCTGAAAAATATTGGGACACCACGAAAAACCTTCGACGTTTCATCATTTGGAAAGTGATAGCCACAGTGTATTTTGCTGAGAGGGTGGATCACAGAAATGACTGATTGCACAATGCTTTTTCTTTTTCAAGTTTAAAAAAGTTCCTTTGCTTTTATTCTGTACAGTTAATCCTTGTCTGCTTCTTTCGTCTACTCAGACGCCATCCTGGCAGAGTCTGTGAATGTTTAACCCTGAATTACCCCAGATTCCTGAAAATTTCATCAGATGATAAGTAACACCACGTGGATGATAAGGGTTTTATTTTAATTTTTGCTCTGTTCAAATTAAAAGGGATTGGACAAAGTGCTATTTAATCACCAATATAGTAATAACTTGTCATACTCCACAGATTGAATCCCACAGTTAATCACTCTCATGTTATCCTGCCCAAAGCTTAAAAAAAAAAAAAAAAGCACTTTCCAGATCTCTAAGTTATAGTAGGTTGGTGCAAAAGAAACTGTGGTTTTTGCCATTATTTTTAATGCATAAATGATATTATTTCCCAGAAGGCCAACTATCTTACTTGTTGTGGATGAATGATTGTTTTTAATGCTAACGAGGTATTTGGCATTTTTTTATTATTATGTTTTGAGATGGAGTCTTTCTCTGTCTCCCTGACTGGAATGCAGTGGTGTGATCTCAGCTCACTACAACTTCTGACTCCTGGGTTCAAGCAATTCTCCCGCCTCAGCCTCCCGAACAGCTGGGTTATGGGCGTGCGCCACCACGCCCGGCTGGTTTTTGTGTTTTAGTAAAGACAAGGCTTCGTCACATTGGTCAGGCAGGTCTTGAACTCCTGACCTCAAGTGATTCACCTGCCTCAGCCTCCCAAAATGCTGGGATTACAGACATGAGCCACCATGCCTGGCCTCTTAATGCTAATGAGGTATTTGGCATTCTTGACTCATTCCTCCCTCCTCGATTTTTAAACCACAGTATAAAAGTCAGTGAAAATTTCAAACACCTCCAATGAGTAAGCCAATGAATCTTCATTGACGATCTTTCTTCAAGAACAGTCCCAGAATGGAAGGGCTCCCTTTGGTCATAGTGAGAAAGACCTCTGTCATTAGAAAGCTTTGATTCTCAGCACAAAGACCAATATGCACATCTAGCTTATCTAGCTCACCAACAAAGGCCAGATCCAGCCGTGTGACATCATCTTCTGGAAAGGCCTCCCATCAAAAGCTAAACTTTAGGATATACACATTTCTAATTTGAGAAAGGAGGATGAGGGGAAAGAAAACATCAGATGTCTGGTTCCTAATGAGGCTTTTATTCTTTACAAAGTGCAGCTGCTTCTGTTTATCGCCCACACTCCTCCCTAGCTCTTGAAAAGTCTTACTTTCTCCGCTGCCATCCTCATCTTCGTCCTCGTCCTCGTCATCGGTGTACAAGATAGGCCCGTCTGAGTCAGAGTCATTGGCTTGGTATTCCCTTTGGCCTTCATCTTCTGAGGCACTAAAGAATTCTGAAGATTCGTCTATCAGCCCAGGAGTCAGCAGCTGAGGCACTGTCTTCCCCAGCTCCTCTTTGGTTGTGAAACTGTTAAAGGCAGAAAAGCAAAGGAGTGATGTGAAGCTCAGAGTAACCCTTGGGGGTACCAACGCCATGAAAAAGAGCTCCAGTTTCATGGGCTTCCTTCAGGCTGGGAAAAGCAGACATTTGACATAGGCCAGGCTAAAGTCACTGAAATAAAACCTTAATTGTCAAGGTTTTACATTTTTCATCTGTAAAATGCAAAGGCTTGGTATCTGATACATTTAGCAAACAAATAAGGTAAAGCTACATTTTCAAATTATTTTTTCCATAGCAACGGGGTTCAGTGGAAAGAATAATGAGCTAGAGACTCCCGGGTATTTGACATTGTCTGCACCTTTCTTTGACTTATATGAACTCCTGCTTATGCTTCAGATGTCAGCTCCTTCAGGAATCTTTCATGGGCCTTCAGTTTAATTCCTTGTTCCACCTGTCTGTTCCATGGAGACCTGAATACAACCCCGCTACAGTGCTTAGGGTACTACACCTTGACCACCCACTGCTTGTGGCTTCTGAGTCCCACAAATTCCTTGAAAAGTGAGACTCATTGTTTTGCATCACAGCACCCAGAAGATAGTGACAGAAAAGTACACCTTCTTTCATTAACACATGACTGGGTTCGGTGGCTCACATCTATAATCCCAGCAATTTGGAAGGCTGAAGCGGGAGGATCACTTGAGCCCAGGAGTTTAAGACCAGCCTGGGCAACATAGGGGACCTCGTCTCTACTAAAAATACAAAAAATTAGCCAGGAGTGGTGGCCGGCACCTACTTGGGAGGCTGAGGCAGAAGAATTGCCTGAATCCGGGAGGTGGAAGTTGCAGTGAGCTGAGATTGTGCCATTGCACTCCAGCCTGAGCAACAAGAGCAAAACTCTGTCTCAAAAATAAATAAAATAAAAATTAGCTGGGCATGATGGCACTTGCCTGCAGTCCCCGCTACTCGGGAGGCTGAGGTGGGAGGATTGCTTGACTCTAAAAAGTCAAGGCTGCAGTGAGTCATGCTAGTACCACGGTACCTCAGCCTGGGTAACAGAGTGAGACCCTGTCTCAAAAAGAAATACATATATATATATATATAAATCCTGTGTTTATCCCAGTGAGTAAATAGTAAAAAATCATTTATCCTTTGCGTGCTTTCATTTTTTTAATTTGTAAAATTGCCTCTTGTAACATAATGGACAGTGTGCAAGTTAAATAAACTTTTTAGAAAAAAGGTGATATGCACTCTAGCCTGGGTGACAGAGCAAGACTTCATCTCAAAAAAAAAAAGGAGGGGGGTGGGCGTGGTGGCCCACACCTGTAATCCCAGCATTTTGGGAGGCTGAGATGGGCAGATCACAAGGTCAGGTGTTAAAGACCAACCTGGCCAACATGGTGAAACCCATCTCTACTAAAAAAACTGCAAACAAATTACCTAGGTGTGGTGATGTGTGCCTGTAATCCCAGCTACTCAGGAGGCTGAGGCAGGAGAATCACTTGAACCCAGGAGGCAGAGGCTGCAGTGAGCTGAGATCACACCACTGCACTCCAGCTTGGGTGACAGAGTGAGACTCTTTCTCAAAAAAAAAAAAAGAAAGAAAAAAGGTGATATGCAAGGATGCAAGAATGCAAGAATTTTCTCTTAGTTAGCCTGGTAAAAGTCTATGGCTTAAAGAGTTACTATTAATATACAAAGACTGCCAATTTTCAAACACAACACTAAAAAATATATAGTAATTTACATTAAAAATGTCATATTGAAAATAGTGTAATCTTCATTTTAAGATATAAAGATCCCCCAAATTGCTTTCTGGTAAAAAGTTCTTCTAGTAATAAACACAGATCAACTTTATCAGAATATGAAGTATTTAAAATTCTACTTTGTGGTTATAAACCTGAGCACCGTCAAAATTTTGTTTCTCACTTATCAGAAAACCCCAACAGAGTATCTTCTCATCCTCAAAGAGGGAAACAGGAAATCTCATTTTTATTGTGTAAAATATACGTAACATAAAATTTGCCATTTTAACCATTTTTAAGCATACAGTTCACTGGCATTAGGCACCTTCACATTACTGTGTAACCATCACCACCAACCATCTTCAGAACTTTTTCATCTTCCTGAATTGTGTGTGAATTGAAACCCTGTAACCATTAAACAACTCCCCATAACCATTATCTTCCAGCCCTTCACAACTACCATTCTACTTTTTGACTCTATAATTTGACTATTCTAAGTACCTTCTCTAAGAGAAATTATACAATGTTTGTCTCTTTGTATTTAACATATTTACTTAGCATAATGTCTGCAAAGTTCATTCATTCATGTGGTAGCATGTGTGAGAATCTTCTTCATTTTTAAGGCTTAATGATACTCCACTCTATGTATATACCACATTTTGTTTATCCAGTCAATGGACATTTGTGTGTTTTCACCTTTTGGTTGTTGTGAATGAAATTGCTTTGAGCACTGGTGTACAAATTCAAGGGCCTGCTTTCAATTATTTTGGCTACACACATGGAAGCAGAATCGCTGGATCACATGGTAATTCTATGTTTAATTTTTTGAGGAACCACCATACTGTTTTCCACAGTGTTAAATCTCATCTTAAATAAGAGATCTATTTTTATGGGAAAAATTTTCCACAGTCTGGGTTTTCAGTTGATTGCCACTGGAAGCCATTCTTGTTGGAATATGTCTGCCATCATGGGTGATCACAGCGCATTTAAAATACATGCCAATGAATATATGTTCTGAATAACAGAACAAAGAATATTGGAGAGATAAGCCCTTCATTTGTTGGTGTCATTGTTCACTAATTTTTTATATTGATTATTATTCTAATCTTACTATTTGTATTTTATGTTTCATGGTTTTCAAATAATTCAGTATACATCTACAATTTACAAGTATTCTATTGTATAAGAAGGGTAGATAATGCATGGTTTGAGGAATCAAAGAAGGGCATGTGTGAGTTGCCTAACCAAGGTAGCAAGTCTAGTCTAAAATCCAGACTGAAGACTCTCGGTCTACCTGTTAAATTTTACATTTATTGTACAATTATATTTTACACTTAATGAGCTATGTTATTAATTAGACCTGATGTTAAATATATTCCAAATCTGTATTAATCAACTCGTGACTTAGCCCTCATTTTCCCCAGTAGGGTTCGTGGGCACACTGGACAACAGAGTACATTCTGTAAATGTTTGTGGAAATGAACTGTACAAAGTAACCTTTTGGATATGGCCTCCAAAGGGACTTATTAGTTTTTGCCTTATCTGTTACCACACACACGTGTTACTGATGAAGCTGCCCATGAATGGAGGCCTACCAAATAATTAGTACCCTGCCAGATGGGAAGAGAGGTAGGTATTTTTATACATAGCCACTTGTCGTCTTGAAAGTTTTGATTTTGTATTCCAAACAGAAGTCTCTTCATAAAATGACAAGATTTTCACACATTAGTTGACTAAACATAACTCACAGGGAAAGTTCTAAGTAAAGAGCAAGTGACTAAGAGCCAGATATTCTAATTCAAATATTCACTTGAAAAGGAAGAAAGAATTTGGAAGGCAATTTGAGAGACTACTTACTCCAGGTTCATTAACTCAAGAGCAAACACAAACCATCCCTGTAGGATAAACTGAAATTTAAATTTTGAAGAATATACGGAGAAGAAAATCCCTATGGCCTCTTCTAGGAAAGCATTATAACTACCTTGATGCACAGGAATATCTATTATAAACACCCTCGATGGCCAATGATGTCCTAAGCTCACTCCCTCTCATAGTAGGAATAAAGAACAGATGGTTACCTCTTCAGTCTGACAGTTTTTCATATACTTGAGATGAAGACTGATATTAAGCCCCTAGTATGTGGTGTGGTGCTTAACACAGTAAAAAGGCACTCCTCAAATATTTGCGGAAATGAAGGGGATAGAGTCAGGCCACCTTTGGATGTGAGCTCTCTGAATGTGTAAGACTATATCAGGAAGCATTTTACATGTTGCACCTTATGCTTTAGTACATTGAACAATAGCCCCATATACCCAATCTATTTCCCAAAATTCAGGTGTTACCTTAAACATTTATACTTCCTGAGCATATCAGACAATATTTTGGTAAAAGCTAGTCTTAACTATGCTCACTTTTGTATCTTTGGGACTTTGTACATTGCCCAGCACAGAGAAGGCAATAAAAAAATACGTGCTGTAAGAATGAATGTTCAGTTCTAATGGTTGGAAGTGATTGCAATATTGGGAAAATACTCAGTATAGTTAAATCAAGACACTTGCTATATGCTGGAAGTATTAAGAATGCTGCTAGGGTTTGAATGTGTTCCCCAGAATTCATGGGTTAAAAACTTAATCCCCACTGTCAAAGTATGGAGAGGTAGGACCTAGTGGGAGGTGTTTAAGTCATGAAGCTCCGCCCTCATGAATAGACGAATGCCATTTTAAAAAGGGCTCACAGGAGTACGTTCACTCTTCTGTCCTCTTTGCCCTTCCACCTTCTATCATGTGATGACATGGAAAGAAGATCCTCGCCAAATGCTGCTGCCTTGATCTTTGACTTCCAGCTCCCAGGATGGTAAGCCAGTATTCTAATCATTATAAATTACCCAGTCTCAGGTATTCTGTTATAGCGGCACAAAATGTCCTAAGAGAGACACCATAACCATTCATTTCAAAAAATCTTCTTTTCCCGTATCTTTTATTAAAATGTCAAAGAAAATGAATTAATTTGTAATTTGACATTTATCTTTTCTTGGCTGTCCTTCACATATTGGTGCTCTAAGTGATTTTAACCCCCCCCACCAAAAAAAAAAAAAAAAAAAAACTAACAGTAGAGAAATGGCAGTAGACATAGAAGCCATTGCTTTGGAAAACATGAAATTATACATTCAGAGCATTGAACTGGGTATGCATTCTGGCTTCACCACCACCAACTGGGCAGTCTTGTGCAAACTATTTTAGCTCTCTCAGTGCCAGTTTTTTAAATCTATAAAACAGGGATACTTTTGGGAAGCTGCTACAAATAAAATAATACATGTACAGTGCTTAGTTCCTGACATTAAATGAGTATTTGATAAATGAAAGTTATTATCATCAGCAATTAAATAATTAAAGTTGACATTTTAGTCTCTTGATCAAAACCAACATAATTAATGTAATAATTTTTTTTTAAAGTCTAATATGACAGATTGTTTTGAAAGAGACCCTTTTACATACTTTGAAGAATGAATACAGGTTTTGTTCTTAGACACAGGAGCAAAAAGCCAGGATTCAAGAGCTCTAAGCCTTTGCTAAACAGAATTGATCATTGCGTCTACTATACTCTGACAGCCATACTTCATACCTGTGGGACAGGGATAATATGTTTTATTTGCCTGTAGAATATTTATAGGACTTTGGGAGTGATGAGATGCAAAGAATGAAAGACAATTAGGACCCTTGGATGAACCCCAGGGTTCCGGCTTGGGCAACTGGGTGACGGTAAAGGAACTAACCCCCCAACTGAATGAGGATGAGACAACATCGAGTTCCTTGGCCCATTTTGTTCAGGTACCTCTGAAATGAAACTAAGACTACTTGAGCACTATCTTTTATCTTCCATTATACTCTATTTATAAAATCTAGCAATAGGGTCATTGTATCTTCAACACTGCTTCCAGCATGTTAAAGTAGGCTGATTTTTTCTATAACCACCTTAAATCACTTTTTTATTTTCTTTCAACAATTCAATGAGTATCTTTTGTGTGCCTATGGCATATCAGACTCTGGACTGGTTGCTGGGTACACAGAGGTATATAAGATACGTTGGCTAATTCTGTCCCACAGGTAGGAAAAAGGGTTGTCTACAGATAGCAGACACAATAATCAATTCTGTCTGGAAGTACTGAATGGCTTCACAGAGGACCTAACATTTCACCTGGGTGGGAATTTAAAGGAACAAGAAGGGGGCCAACTCTACTGCTGGAGAGAAGAGTTCCAATTTGAGAGTTCTCGTCTGATCTTCTTTATGTTCTTGGAGAAGAGGAGAGCTCAGTCACTTGCTGATGTGAGTGGGTGAGCAGACTGGACCCACGTGGTAAAGATTTAAAATAAGCACTGAAAGGAAAGAGAAGGGAACTGAGGACTGCTGGGCAGTGCTGAGGCAGGCTCTAACAGTACTTGAAAACACCGATCTCAAGTGGTATTTGTTGGCTCTACCAATGGTTGGATCATATGTATGCCTAACACTCAGTAGGTTAAATTATAAAAGAAAGCAAACCTGTTTGCTTCATTTCCAACACAATACATTAGTGATCTTTAGTTCTCAGATAAAATAGGGAGCTTGTTCCCCAACTTACCATTTTGCATTTTCTCTGTTAACACTTAAGTCAGTGTCTGAGTGGAGAGTGGTTCTGTTCATCGGCTCTTCAGCCCAAAGAAGCTGACTTGGGTCTAAGGCAGAGACGGGCAGGTCAGCTCCAACGCTGACCAGGACAACAGGAGTATCTGAGGCAGTAATGCATTGATCTTCAAGAGGGAGAGGAGGGGCAGGAGGAGAAGGTGTGGGAGCCACAGGGGTTGGAGAGACCGTGGACTTGGATTTGCCTGCGTTCTGCTCCTCGGCTCCAGGGACAGTCTGTTCGAGTTTGAGACTCTCCACTCTGGTCTCCGAAGGCTCTCCTTTCAGGCTGGATGTGCCAGAAGTGGTTGTGTCTGAGGACAGGTGAGAAGTCGTTGCCTGCTTGCCAGTTTTTTTCTTGCCCTTGGTGGTCCCCACTGTCCCTGTTTTGCCAGATACTGTCTCCTTTGAAGCTTTGGGACGAGATGAGGTGGATGAAGTGGATGGCGAAGCTGATGCTTTAGAGCCAGTTTGTTTTTTTGAATGAGAGGAGCCAGCTACAACAGAGAGACTTTGCATTAAAAAATCAAATACAATGCTTTTTAAAATAAAGTAACTAAGATGTAACTGTCAACAACATTTAAAATGTTCCCTTTAAAATTTGTCAAATAAATGAGTAAGAGAAAATAGGCCAATAAAGATAATGATCTTGTCTTCTGTCCCTCCCATCCTACAATCCAGCAAGGAGTAAGTGATGTTTATGACAAAACTTGGAGGAACAGGAACCCTCTGTCTTCTCCCACCTTTAGTCTTTAGCTGAGCCAGCCAAAGGGAGAATCCTCTGCTCCTTGTCTATGGGTCACTTGAGAAAGCCCAGTCTGCTCTCAAGAAGGAATGTTATGGTATGCAGAGGACAAACACCAGCAGCTAGCTGGGGGCAGCACACAGCTGGGCTCATCATAAATTATACATGTTGTATAATGTCCTTCTAGGACTAGAGTGGTGGCCCGTATTCAGAAGAGGCTGGAGTATATATCCAGCTCCTTTCTGGGTCAAAAACAAAATCACTCATCTTACTGCTAAAAGAGTAAAACGCAATCCAGCTGTTCCCGTAGCTCCAGAGAAGGAAGCTTGCCATGCTGGCCTCTACTTCCCTCTGCAGTAGAGACGGGGCAAAGGGAAAACCCATGGCCACACAGGAAAGGTATACTCCCTTCAAAACATCAAAAGCCTGGAAAAAACTTGTTTTTTACAAAATATATTTACATGGGTTGCTCCTAATTTCTTTTTTTTTGAGACAGGGTCTTGCTCTGTCACCCAGGCTGGAGTGCAGTGGTATAATCTTGGCTCCCTGCAACCTCTGCCTCCTGGTCTTAGGTGGTCCTCCAGCCTCAGCCTCCTGAGTAGCTGGGACTACAGGTGTGTGCCACCATGCCCAGCTAATTTTTTAACATATTTCTGTTAAGACAGGGTTTTGTCATGTTGGCCAGGCTGGTCTTGAACTCCTGGGCTCAAGGGATCCACCCACCTCAGCCTCGCAAAGTGAGAGGCTTTGGTGACTCCAAAGGATTATAGACAGGACCATGCCTGGTCCTAAATAATGTGAAGGGAAAGAATATCATTCTCAGGTCTTCTGACCCCACTTTCACAAATGTAATCTTCCTTAATGCTTAAGTTCCCAGAAGATCTTCATTGGAGGATCGCTACAGTATATTTGCCTACTTCCAGATAGGGCACCCTCAACCCAAACCGTTTCAGAACAAAAAGATTAGCTACTCCTTCCTTTATGTCATCTTAGTAAATACATGATGATAAGATAAACTCCTCTGAGAATACTCTTCTGTTTCATGACTTTTATGACCTATAAATTTCTCCTAATGGCTTCTTCTGCTATAATGTTGTAAGTTCCTTCTTTTCATGAGGGTTCAACTATCTTTCATAGAACAATTAGAAAATACCTTGTTAGTATCATGAAGCCAATCCACGCTGTATACAGATATTATTGTAACTTACCTCTGGTTATGACTTTATTGAAGTCAATTGGGAGGGTGAAGAGATGAAGAATAAATAAAAGAATAGACAATGAGATGTAAAACTTCATTAATTCTGATTAGACTGATACTAAAGAAGCCAGTCTCTTTTAGTGACAGGTTCCAGGCTTAAAAGGAGTCCCTATGGTTTTGGGGTCTTTATGGTTTAAGATATACATAAATAGAACTGTTCTTCCCCAGATCTAAACCTGTTAATACATCTTTATAAAAAACAACCTTCCCTAGCCTAGAAATCAAACTCATTAAGCAGACTCCTTCAATCAACATCCATTCTACATTTACTTTTCACAACAAAGACGCTAAGGATTTGGTGCCTAACCATGTTCAATTATTTTCTTAGGTAAGTTAAACAGAATTCTTTCCACATATCAATTCTAATAATTTGTAAAGGAAATTCTTTTCTTTTTGGAGACAGAGTCTCAGTCTGTCACTCAGGCTAGAGTGGAGTGGCACAAGCTCGGCTCACTGCAACCTCTGCCTCCCGGGTTCAAGTGATTCTCCTGCCTCAGCCTCCCAAGTAGCTGGGATTACAGGCACCTGCCACCATGCCTGGGTAATTTTTGTATTTTTAGTAGAGGGGCTTCAGCATGTTGGACAGGCTGGTCTCGAGCTCCTGACCTCAGGTGATCTGCCCACCTCAGCCTCCCAAAGTGCTGAGATTACAAGCGTGAGCCACGATGACCTGCCAAGAAAAGTCTTTCATCGTTAACAGAAAAGTTAATTTTAGCTTGGCTTGAGGAAAAATATTTTTTTCAATGCTCAGAGTGCAAATTCAAGCCACATTATAGTTTTTTTTTTTTTTTTTTTTTTTTAAAGAACCTTCTTAAATGACAGGTCTTTGTTGAAAGCAAACATGTTGCTTAAGTTACCTTGAATTAAGGGCATAATAAAAACATGCCACCTCTCTTCTGTTAAGTATGTTTGTTGTTAATAACGTGTAACAATGAGAAACCAAAATCAAGCAGATTTACCCCTACTTCCCCGGCAAAGAGGCTGAATGTTCTAAAACTGATACCTGGGCAGGTGGAGGTCTATACTAACTTAATAATAGAGAAAGAGTCTTAACTGATGACTGCTTTAAGAACTTAAATCATTGGATTGAACATCAAGAGCTGCATTTGAACAAACTTTTCTGGAAGGTCCATATTATTCAAATAAAACAAAGTTACCATGCAGAAAGTTCTAAATGGTCACAAACGGAGTATCAGTCAGATCATCAAGGGATATTATCAGTATTGGATAAAACGATCCTTACATGATGGCCTTGTTGGTGTACTTAAATGCAACCCCGTTTCTCTGTGATAGTCTCTGAAAAGGTCGGGCCTTTTACAATACAATGACTAAAATGACTGTGCTATTCTCTTAGGAACATCATGAGTGCCTAAATCAATCTTCAAACAAAATATCTAGAGAAAACCTCAAAATCGCTCATGAAAGCTGCTCTCTGTCCTTGTGTGAATCATCGGCTTTCTTCTCAGGGAAGTAAAGAGAGTCCAAGCCGAGTTCAGAGTGAGCCACTACCATGTGGAGAATGGGAAAGTGGAGAAGCTAGTGCAAGACAGGAGCTTAATTCCCAATGACAGAGTGATCGTTTGGGGCTGTTCTTCAGGAAGTAGATCAGTGCCTGCCTTACTTTAAGCAATGCTCCTAGGGTTTGCTAGGAAGTCTGGAAAACACACAGATCCCAACATGAACGGACACTGATGGGTGAGGACAGCTGGCCCCTGAGGCGATGGCCACTGGGCGCTGTTGGCACATCATTCTGGGACATTTCAGTTTAGAGCTTATTAGAGGAGACCCAGACACTAAAGGTCAAAGGTGGGAAGGGAGGAGCACAGGGAGAGGGACGTCTACTGGCATTCAGAGATCTGTTATACTGTCAACTAAACCGCTCTCTGAATTTGAGCATTAAGGGCATACATTATGAGGGGAAAAGACCAACACCAAGGCAAATCCTGGCAGACAACTGCTAGAAAGTTGCTATTAATTTTAAGGACAGTAAGAATTTTTTCGAGATGGAGTCTCACTCTGTCGCCCAGGCTGGAGTGCAGTGGCACGATCTGAGCTCACTGCAACTTCTGCCTCCTGAGTTCAAGCGATTCTCCTGCCTCAGCCTCCCAAGTAGCTTGGATTAGAGGTGTGCACCACCATGTCCAGGTAATTTTTGTATTTTTAGCAGAGGGGGCACTTCACCATGTTGACCAGGCTGGTCTCAAACTCTTGACCTCAAGTGAGGGACCTGAGTCAGCCTCCCAAAGTGCTGGGATTACAGCTGTGAGCCACCAGGCCTGGCCTGATTAATGTCCTTTTAAAAGGTAAAGGACACGGTAGGCATCTTTATTCCTCTTCACTAGAAAAATGGGAGTTTCCACTTTGCATTGAGCATATCTGATTGTAAAGCAAAGCTGGATACGTATTGCATGAAGGTATTGCAGGTCACTCAAACATCCACTGGTGATCTGTAATAGCAACTTATAACCACAGGACACCAGGATGCTTTGCCTTAGAACATGCAAGTCTACAGGGAAGGTGTGGAGCACTGAGAAGGTAACTTTCAGCTCCACCGAAACAGTTTTGACTGCAGTAGAAAGTGGTGGGGTAGAGCTGAAACAGGTCATATGAACCCTTTTTTTCATTTATCAGGAGGGAGATGACGATGGATGCTGAGGATTTAACACATTAACATCCAGCAAATGTATCAAAGTTATAATTGTCACATTTTTACATGCAAACCTAAGATATTTTGAAAGAAAATCCAAGCCAAAAAGCCATCCATAAACTCATATAGGTAGAAGGTCAGTCAATGTCTAAATAATGTCATCAGTATATCAGATCATTGTCATCCACCGGGCATACTACTCCAAGTATCCTTCAACTGGTGCTGATAGTGGACACTCAAACCAGTACATTCACTCAAAAGCTAATGAGGTGAACTCTTCAATGAGTTGATGGTCCTTTGGTAGACAGCAACAAAGGAATCTCCTGGGCATTCTTTGTGTCAGAGCTGAATCTGCTGGTGTAAGGTCCTAAGACACCAAAGCCCATCACACATAGAAGAAACAATTAGCCCCATCCCAGAGCCAGGCACCCTAGAAGTGACCCCACAGGACACTGGGGGCATACTCACCAGCCTCTCGGGTTGTGTTTCGGCTTGTTGGCTTGGGTGGAGGGACGGGGGTCTGCTTACCAGAAGCCTTGGTATTTTTTTTAATGGGAGGCACTTCGTCACCTTTGTGGCTGGCCCCAGCAGTGGCCCCTTTCGGAGGCACAGGTGATTTTTTGGGTTTAGGTTTGGGTCTAGGCTTAGGAGGAGCAGAAGGAGGTAGAGCAGGAGCTGCCGGTGTTTCAGAGTGGTTTTCAGTGTTCTCTATAAATGAGAAAGTGAACAGAAGCAGACTGATACAGACACACACCATATAAACACGAGGAGCGAGACGTGACGATAGTGGACACAAAGCGAGGCTGCTTGGCACCTGGGAACCAGCATGGCGTTCTGCACCAGACAGAACACAGTTTGGGGTGAAAACGAAGGCTGAAAGACAAACTGAGATGTGTTCTCAGGGTACGTGAATCACCCTTTAATAAAATCGGTTGTACAAACTACTTTGATGAAGTTAGGTTGAGGATGTGTGTAAATGTTTGCAAGTCAGAGGCCTCAGTTCCAGCCTTGAATCTGGGGTTGCTGGATGATGATGCGGGCATGAAGTGCTATGTTTAAATTGAACAAACAGTGATTTAACAAAGTTGAAGGCTCCCTGGAGAGTGGCAGAAGAGCGTGTGACAGTCATTGCTGTGGGGTGAGGACTGACAGCTGCAGCAACTGCTGGACTCACAGTTACCCTCGAGAACTCAAGCCTGATCCAGCTGAAAGGGATTTGTGCTCAGTCTCGCTGCAGTCAAAAACCAATTATTTTCTAAGCTGAGAGAGACTCTGGAGAATCTTTTACATGAGGCAACAATGCACTTTGGAATGAATCATCTTCTATTAGCAAAATTTTCTAAAGCTTTCCCAGTACATTGGCAGCTTCCTGTTCTACAATAACTTCCTCTGCCCTTTCCTTCCTTTCGTGTGTGTGTGTGTGTGTGTGTGTGTGTGTATGTGTGTGTATGAAAGAAAATCTCAAAAAAAATTTTTTTTTCAGACAGGGTCTTGCTCTGTCACCCAGGCTGGAGTACAGTGGCATGATCATGGCTCACGGCAACCTCAATCTCCTGGGCTCAAGTGATCCTCTAACCGCAGCCTCCCGTGTAGCTGGGAACACAGGTTGTTTGCCACCATGCCCGGCTAATTTTGCTATTTTTTGTAGAGATGCGGTTTTGCCACATTGCCCAGGCTGGTCTTGAACTCTTGGGCTCAAGTGATTTGCCTGCCTTGGCCTCCCAAAGTGCCAAGATTACAGGCGTGAGCCACCATGCCCGGCCTTTTCAAATACTGTCACTACTATACGTAGGTACATCTAGATGGTGCCACATCCAAGAAATACTTAGGTCTATAAGTATAGTAATGTAAAGATGAATAATTATTTTGGAAAGACAAAGACTAAAATTCACCCAAAACTCATACCTAAGAAGAGCAGCTTCTCACAAGGTTTTGTGTAACCAGAGGAGAAAGGGTATCAGTCTCCTGTTACTTAAAGACAGTGGAGATGCTGAAGGTTCATTCATATATTCACATCTATATTCTTTCTAATAGTGACTGATAAGAATTAAACTAAAATACCATTCTGGTCCAAAGAGCTAAGCAGCATTTTCTTATAAAAGGGGCACAGTACAAAACATAAGACAGTGTTAAGACAAGATCGAGCCTTAACCAAGTCTGTCCTCCCATTACTGAATGATCAAGAAAGGGTTTTAATATTGGGATATATTGCGTTTTATTATTATTTCTATTATTTTGTTTCTTGTCCTAATGAGTGTGAAGTATGGACTTCTATTTTTTTTAACCACATTCCCCATCAATCTACATATATAATTACCATATGATGACTTAAGTTCCAGTAGGTAATCAATAAAGGTTTTCTTTTAAAGTTCACCTTTGATTCTGCCTCAGCCACAAAATCACCTCCCGTCACCACAGCCCAAGTTGACCTCTCCTACCTCTGAACTTACTCAGGCTTATCGTGTGAGCCATTTACTCAACATCTATCAGCAGCTATTTTGTATTTTTGTCTTTCTGTCTATACACCTTGTCTCCTCGACAAAGCTGAGTACCATATATACTGTATTAATAGTAGTGGCCCTCTTAACTCAGCAGGTCTTAGCCAGTCAAGTCAATCGCAAAAGTCAGTTAGGTTTGAGAATGATACAAGTGGATACACACCTATACCATTTAACTTAAAATATATACATATACATTAACTTGCCAATCTTCTGAAATATGGCTGAAGCCTATTCCTTAAATACATCTTTGTAACTTTAGCCCCCAGCATAATACCATAAAGCGTGGAGACTAAGCTCAATAGCATCCTCCGTGGTGAAAGTCAAACAGATCTGTAACACATGGCACCTTAATTCTCTTATATACCACCAACTCTACACGTGTTTTATACTCTCCCTTCATAGCATATCACTGAGGGGTATTTTTTCTTTCTGCCTAAGGTTTAAAATTCTAAAGGTATACCAGAAGGAATCCAGCTTCTGGGTTTGGAAAGGAGGAGATGGTTCACCATATCGGTTGGCAATGACAAGACCTCGTGGGCAGAAAATGAACATACTGCAAACAGAGTTTGTCCTGGAGCCTTGGAGAACATGATCCACTCCTCTTGACTCTTCAAACTCTACCAACTATGTGTGAACATTTGTCATTCTGGTGATTATTAAGTTGTGTGTGTGTGTGTGTGTGTGTGTGTGTGTGTGTGTATGGTGTGCATATGGGTATGCAAATAGCATAATTTTTTGACTGAATTATAAACTCTTTTTGTCTGAAATTTAAAATCGCATCGAACACAATGCTTTAAACACTTTGTCTATTCTATGAATGGGCCTGACTGTCTAATAGTTATCGACACACACATCAGTAGAAGACAGATGCTTTAGTTGCAGCTGGGAGGTAATGAATAAAGTCAAGTTGGATTCTTTACACTTACCATGTGATCTGAAGACAGGATATAAACTGATGGTATACAGGAGTACCATCATTTCAAGAGAAGGTTAAGAAAGGGCTGCCTAGTCATTCTGGCTTGATAAGGATGCTAGGCTTTTGAGCAATGTGGTCTGGAAAACAAGCTGTTTCCCAAACCTCCAGGGTTGGCTCCTTTGGCCACTGGAAGGTTTGAGCTCAACGACACTTAGAACAAGCCTGGGACTGCATGTGGTCTTCGCCCTGCCTAGAATGCAATTCTGACCCAATTCCTCTGCTTCGCTTGCCTACCTCCTTCTTGTTTCCTTCATGTCTTAGTTTGTAAATATCTTCCTCTGAGAACCAATGTTGGTTCTTGCTGTGAGCTCCCTTGGGGTGCTGTGCTCAGGCCTTCCATGGTACTTTGCATCTTGCATTGCAATTGCTTGTTTGCATTCTGGTCTCCTCAAGGCCACACTCTGCTTCAGGAAAAGGCCGTTTTTCATTCACTACGCTTTTCCTGGCCCCCAGTAGTGTCACCCATGGTAGACCTTCATTATTTGTGGAACAAGTAAGTATTCATCACTTGGTACTTCACTGAAGATTTTTTTTTACAACAAATTAATAAAAATAATATCAAGCAAGATTTCTTAGAAGATACTTATAAGATTTCAGAAGAATTCTTATAAGATTTCTTTTTTTTTTTTTTTTTTTTTTGAGACTGGGTGTCACCCAGGCTGGAGTGCAATGGGGCCACCTCAGCTCACTTCAACCTCTGCCTCCTGGGCTCAAGTGATTCTACCTGCCTCAGCCTCCAGAATAGCTGGGATTACAGGCACCAGCCATCACATTCGGCTATTTTCTGTATTTTTAGTAGAGATGGGGTTTCGCCTGGTATCAAACTCCTGACCTCAGGTGATCCACCTGCCTCAGCGTCCCGAAGTGCTGATATTACAGGCGTGAGCCACCGCGCTCAGCCATAAGATTTCTGATGTTTATACCAAGCTTTATTTAACAGGGAGGAAGTCAGTTTTTCTGCTCTTATAAATTTAAAGGCACTTGCTGAGAGAGAATAATGAGAGACCAAGAGCCCCGAAGACCTCGAGGAAGAAGTCTTTAGTATTAGGCAGAGGAGGCCCAAGACCACTGTACCAACTACAGAATCAGGTCCCTTCAGGAGACCCAGAAATGCCCAGAGGGCCTGGGTGAAATCTACTCATAGAGCAAGTGTGAAGGACACCACATGCCATTTGCTTTGCTTTCTTGGACGGTGATGTTTCAAATATTAAAGTATTGAGATACTGTCTTATGAAGAGATATAATACACATCTAGAGCTCTAAAGGCAGGTGATATGGTTTGGCAAATAGAACCAAGTAGATGATTTAATGCTCTTGATTAAGCTGGCTTCATGCAGAAGGAAAGGGAGCACTGTATCCCAAAATAAAGAGTGAATTAAGATCGTGGGATGGTGGGGTTGGCATGGTAGTGAGCTAACACGAGCAGAAGAGGAACAGAGGCAAAAGTGAAGCTTGAGTTGGTCTTCAGAATTAACAAATGTGTTTTTCTAGAGAAGTAAATTATTACCTTTGCCATAAGGCATTTTCTAATTAACATAATACACTGAAATATTAGTTACACGTGACATTCTTTTTAGTCTCAGGAAGTAGCTTCTATACCGAGTGCTTCCCCTTGTGGCTTTGGCATGTGCACTGTCCACATGGGAGAGAGCCACACTACCTCTTAGTGGTACGTAGCATCCAGCACTCCCAGTTCCTTCCTCATGTACTTACTGACCAAGCAAGAGGCTCTCTGGGACCTTATCAGACAAGAAAGAAGGGAATGTCCTAATTCAAAGTAAAGAAAAACACTTCTCAAATATTCATGGACCCAGAAGATCTGCTATCTTCTTTCTAGAACATCAAGGTTTGTTGGTTAATTCATATAAAACTGTCAGCAAGTTTTTATGATGTTGATAAGGGAAACACTTCTTTTGATGTCTGGCCAGTCTAGTGACGAATACCCCACACCAACCAGGCACCAGAGATGGCACTGTTATGTAATGCAGGATGTGATTCTTGGATGTGAAAAGGCTGCCAGGGACAAACCACAGATGGATTTGAAATTCAACAGTCTGGCGAGACAGGACGGTAAGACTTAAACAAAAAACATCACTACTTGCCTAAATACTTTCAACTGAATCCCACTAAAATTTACTTAAGACTACTTTCTTTTTATGTTCCAGGAATATTATCATTAAAAGTATTTCATAATTTGTGTTCATAAGCTTAACCAGAGTCAATGTTCAATGGAATAAGGCTAGATAAAGCCCTTGAAATTAAGCAAAATAATAAATTTCCAACAGATTATTAACACAGGCTTCTAAAACTTTTAAAGACTAATATATATGCAACTAATGGATGGTTATGAACTTCCAGAGCAGATGATTTTAAGTTACAATGGTGTGTTTAATAGGTCATCAAATACTCTTTTTTTCCTTTGTCTCTCAAGGATCTGGGTCAAGAACAGAGGAAGAAAATTCACTTTCATCAGTTTCTAAGCATTCAAACTGCCTATAGAACACACATTAGGTTTGACAAAATTTTACCATTCAACTTAGAGACAGACGTTACAAAACAGGAAACAGTACATTTCCTAAGGATTCTTTTCTATGCTGCATGGAGTCATCTAGAATCTCCCCCAAAAATCTTTCCTTATGGAAGTTTCATTTCATGTTTGGAGGTATCTACACATCACAGCAGTAGTACTGAGATGTCATCAATCCATGACCAGGAATTTGTGAATGTTCTGGGAGTCACTGATAGACATGTATTTTGCAGGTATCTCAATCTACCATAGCAAATTCACTCTAGGAATCAAGGTCTCTAAAGAAGTCTTCTGGTAATACCATAATTGCCCCTGGCACATTTTGAAATTTCCAGTTGCACAGAGGCTGTGGGAATCAGCCAGCAGAGCAACCACAGTCCATGGCATCTCTGGGAATTATTCCTGGGTCTCTCTCAGAAATATGTGGAACCTACGATACTGGACATGTGAATGCCATCAGCCAAGTTCCCACTGCTGGAGAGAGTGCTGGGCTGAACAAGCCATGTGGGTTTTGGTATTCCTCCATGCTGGACTGCTCACGGGGCCAGTTGTAACCAGCAGAGAAAGATGTTCATATTTCTCTTTCATTATGATCTTGAGATAAAGCTCCCAAAAAAGAATAGTTTTCCCAGATATCTCTAATGATTAAAGAGGTCACCCCTTCTGGTTATTACTTTTAATTAACATTTATTAATAATTTAAAAAATCAAACACTGTGCTTATAAAATGGATGCATCTACCTGAGAAAATCATCCTATTTCATTTTACTAGTCAACATTTCTTTCTTTTTTGTATTTGTAAACCTTTCCTCTGCAGACTGCTGGTTTTAGAGTCACTATTTGGAGCCTAAGTGCTGGCTCTAGACATTAAGCTATACTAAAGTCAATAATATGGGTTTCTCTTTGTTTTACCTTTCTTATCTTCTGCCTTTTCCTCCAGAGGTGGTGTTTTTTCAGATACAGAGCCATTACCTTCTTCAGATATTACTACATTTTCCTCTCGGGTAGATTCCTCTCCGATGGGTATCATGTGCCCGTTTGAATTTTCAAAGTTAACTGTTACATCTCCATCTAAAATGGGAAAGAAACACCTAGATGTCTAACTTGCTGGCTTTCTTCAAAACAAGTTTTCCAGTTACTAGGATGGTAGAATTTGGGTTCATGTTTCAGTCCCTGGGAACCAAATACGCCCTGCACTGTTTCACCAAATAGTTTATTCAAAACAAAACAGTTAGAAAATTCTTAGTCTTGGGGGAAAACTAATATGGAGGGAGTATCTATGTGTCATTTCAAGACAATAGGAATGATCATTTTAATTATGCAAAATCCCAGGGCAGCAGAGTCCCTCCGTTCCAGTGCTTAGGTTTGGTTGAAGTCAATACTTATGTGTTTCTTTGTCATTCAGAAACAGAATGGTGAGAGGAATAATCTGGAAAATGGAATAAACATTTTAACAAGCACCAAAAACACAAGGTGAGTGCATATACACAAATAACATGAAATGTAATTCCACATACAAACAATAAGTGGGATAATATAAAAATTTCCAAGTACTACTGGTTCCAGAATATATGAAGTATATGATGTGCTAACTTCACACAGTATCATAACTCTTATTCTATATTCAGGGAAAAGATGATAGCAAGGCTATTTTTATTTTCATTTCTTCATTTATGGAAAGATTAAACTATACTTAGGTAATTACTATATATAACCAGCCCAAAAGCCCCTAAGTTGTCCTAAAAATATTTTGAAAACATTCGAGAAAAAAACACCTGAAAAAGTAATCACAAAAGAATTTTAAAAAATCATAATTGATAAAATTGTGAACATATTATCAAAATCATAAGTGACTAATTTTAACTCCTGTATTTCCATAATTTCTACGGGTTTCTAAAGTGAAAGAGACTTGCAGAAATATTTAATTCAGAGATTCTTGAAAAGATTAACCCTATTTTATATCTGGAAAAATTTATGAGGCTTTGCTACCATTGTAAAAGAAAAATTAACGATTGGAAGGTTTGAGCAAACTTTAAAAAATGCTTGATTAGAGTTCTTTCTATTTTTTACTACTCTTATCTTGGCAATCTTATAAAACAGAAACCATTTCCCAAGTTGTCATTAAATATGATTGAATTGCTTTGGCTCAACAATAAAATCCATTTGCCTTCTGAACAAAAACAGACATGACATTTTAATAAATCATAAAATTATGTCACTTTTAGAATGAAAAAGTAATCGTTGCTTAGTCATATAACTCCCAATAACCTATAACTGAGTCCTGTGTAAAACTAAAATCAGCAATAATTGAAGGCAATGCCATTACAAGTAAATCTTAACTAATAAAATTAAGAATTTTTAAAGACTATATGTCAAACCAAAGAGAATCCAAATGATTCTCACTTCTTATTATTAAATCCCAAGAAATTAGCTATAAAAAGGAAGAGAACACAATATATCCAGAAAAAGGAAAAATGAAGAATGGAAAATTCCAAAGAAAATAGAAAATCACTTGCTTATATATAAAAATCTTCAGTTTTTAGGTAACTCGAATATGAATTTATCTTTGTTTTCTTTGACTTTAGTTGGTAATAAAAATATACTGAAGTCATGTTATTGACAATTTAATTCTATTTTAAGCATTATGAAAATTCTTTAGTTAAAAACTGATTTTTTAAATTTAGAAAAAGCTAGAGAGAAATTTTAATAGTGGTGGCACAAGAAGAAATTGAATTATCACAGACAGAAGTAGTTGACAATGTGGAAAATACTTACTTTGAGGCATGAAATAAAGCTAGTTAATATGAAAATAACTGTAGAAAAAAGAGACACAGTTGTGATAAATATGGAATTCAAGAACAAAACAGAGAGGACGTAAAGTTATTAATTAGTTGGTGTGTATATTGAAAAGGTTTTCTAGTATTGTGTGTTAAGGAACATGTTTCAGAATTAAAACAAGTTAAATCCTTGATATGGTGTATGTGTGTAAGGAAAATCCATGCTGAGCAAAGGAAGGCAAGAGGGTGCTGAGCTGGATGGCAGTTGACAGTAAATGACCCAAGTCGATATGTCTCACAGGAGCAAAGGAAAGAGAAAACTCGAAACACAGTTGTAAGCTTAAAGTAAAATGAGAGAGGAAGCACAAACAGGAGCAAGTGGTTCAATAAGGAGCATGACGGTGTTTGAAGGGTGTTACCTTCTTCTAGCAAACAGGCGTATTGCGGATATATTATAGTCAAAGGAGGAAGAGATGGAAAGAGAAAATCATGTATAACCAAAAGGCGAGTGATAAAAGTCCACAGTGGGAGAAAAGGAAAGGATGGTAGACAGGCAAAAGCCGCCTCCACAACCTTATGTCAAAGGCTAAGGGGAAAGGTGGAGGGAAAGAAGCAGAGGTAAGCAGTAAACTTGGACAGACCACGGACTTCCCAGGAGAGAAGACGAATCACTGAACTTTTAGGTTGAAGGTATGTCTGGGTATAAAAAAGAGAATCTAAAAGGAAAAATAATAATAGTTGGGAGGGTATGGGATATGATGGGATGGGGTCTAACTCAGGACAGCTAGAGGGATTTTTAAAGTCTATCTGACTCACTGAATAAAGGGCTTGATGGACAGGCACTGTCAAGAGCAGAGGCAAGGTCAAGAAGATCAAAGCAAAGAACGAATCTTCACTGGCAGCAGAAAGGAGGTTGTTACCAAGAACAGCAGCTTCTGGTCTCTCAGACTGAAATTCTCCAGATAATTGCTTCTGGGAAAATCACAGAACTATTTTCTCCAGCATCAGCTGAATAGGGGAAGGACTCCATTTACCACCGACATCCTTAGGAACCTTCAACCATTAGATAATTTCTACAGTTCTAGACAGGGACCATGTACAAGTTGCAAAGTAAAATCTAGTAGTTTATGACTTCTCAAACATTAAGCCAATTATATTATGCTTAGGTTAAAAAATTGTTTTCTTCTTTTATGTTATAAAACCTTTAGTTTCCACTGCAAAAGTTAAATAAAAAGGTCAAAGAGAGTCAGATTTCTGAGAAGTGTACATCGGCCCAAGAAATTATAATCTATGAGGCAAATAGTTACACAGATTAGGCAGAATAAAAATCATTTCTTTAAATTGACCATTGCTACTTGTTTTTTAGAAAGAGCAAATTCCTTTTCTACCTACGAATTTTAATTAAGAAAAAAGATGGGCTTTTAATCTCCACCTTTAAACTCATTAACAGTTTCAATCACAAAATTTTCCATTTTTTACTTTCTTTAAAATATTTCTAAATAAATGATGTCTAATAAATGTATTGACCCATCTCATAAAGCTGATGGCCCAGTGTTAAGGTTTCAATGGGTATATAATTTCTCTATTGCCTTCAAAGACGTTGGACAGGAAATTAATTTTGATATTGCAAGCCTACCTTTAAGTTTAAAAAGTTAGAAATGTGCATTTTTAACTCTAAAAGTCTCAAACAGGAAATAAGTAGCTTCAAGGTAATAGAAAAATAGGGAAAACATAAAATTCATTCATAAAGTAGGGTAAGAAAAGTTTGACAGCCCCAAAAATACGAGGGCTTAAGAAAATGGTATTATTCACTCCAGAGTTTCCTATTTTCTTTCAATCAGGAGAAAAACAGTAAAGCATTTTTCAGCTCCACTCTGGAATTACTCAGATGCTGGAAAAAGCATGTCATTTTGATTTATAAATAGTGAATGCCAAAAATGTTAAGTCCTTTGCAAGGAACATATATCAGGAAAACAGCTGTACTATTATTTCAATTCTAAATTAATAGCATTTCATTTGTTCCCATAAAAGTAAAATAATAATACTTAACTCCCAGTAAATGTGAGGGGAAGGGAGGCATGAGATAAATCAACAATGTTGCAACAAAATGTCTTTTATTTTTAAATTTAGGTAGTATTTATTTGGAGAAATAACCAATGTTAGCGTCTTCTTTTGAGGGTCAATACCGGTTTCTATCTGATCCTTGTCTTTTTTGAACAAAGTTCCTCCTTGGGAAGATAGAATAAAAAAAGAGAAGATCAGAGATAGGGGAAAAAATTAGAAATAATCATTGCTAGTGAAAGATTCAGAGAAATGAAAAGAGAACAATACTGAAAAATTACTTGAGAGAATGCAGAAAGCAGATTAGGTTAGTTTGCCTATTCATGCTTTATTGATTGTATATTTCAGTGTTATTATAGAGTGCAAAGGACAAGAGGTATGTGTGCCTTCTTTCTTCTCTTTCATTGGTAGTCTTAAAAAACAAATGGCATGAACCAAGTTAAAACTTAGCATTTACTCCAACACATAAGTTTAATGTGAATAGAAAGCCTGAAGCTCAAGAATAGGGAAGAGAATGTGTCATAAGCATTTGTTTCTCATCCGCATCGGCCTCAGATGTACCTTTGCAGAGTTTTAGGTTTAGAATGACATAAGGTGACGGATTCACCAGAAACGTCACTAGAGTTCTCTAATACTTCAGGTTCTCTGCAGCTCACAAAGGCATTAGCAATGAAGCAAGGCTCTTGGGAGTGCAGCAGTCACTGCTTCATCTTACAAAGCCCATGATCATTTTAAATTTCAAAAGAAAACAAAAGAAAGACCAAAGAATGAAGGACCAAAATATTTAAAATGTATGATTAATTTCCTCACCTTGATCAGGCAATTCCTTAAGAACTCCCCTTCTTATCAGCTCCTCTCTACTTTGTCGTGTGGATATCTTCCTTTCTAATACTTTTAAAAAGAACAAGCACAAGTAAGAATCAAGTCATTCCTTAAGATCACTTTGAAAAACATTCCAAGTAGAATTGAGCACAATTATTCTGCTCACATGAGGGCTCAAACCAGTTATCTTAGTTGCTCAACAAAACACGTGATGGGAGTTGAATCAACACGGCTACGCCAAGAGCAAGCCCAGCCGCTGTGCCCGGTCTTTCCAATGACCACCTTCGGCCTAGTGTCCAGACATATGATTCCACACCAACTACATACAGAGCATAAAGGCTGCTTCTTAACTTTGAAGCTAGAAATGCTACATTCTAAAACGTATGATTCTATGGATATGCAGTGTATGATATGTATGCTTACATTAAAAAAAAAGCCACATAAACATTCAGTAAATATTCTGAGTAAGTCATTTGAATGTCAGGAAAACAAACTATTGTCTAGAGTTTTCTCTCTTGCTCCATCTATTACAAAAGCCCAACACATTATATGTCTATAACTCTTTCCCCTGTATTCTCACTAATTCTAGAGGGTTCTGGTATATTATTACCTGGCAATCCCCAGGTCTTAGGAGGATGGAGAAGGCAGTTAAGAATAATCTTTCTTTGGCCAGGTGCAGTGGCTCGCGCCTGTAATCCCAGCACTTTGGGAGGCCGAGGCAGGTGGATCACCTGAGGTCAGGAGTTCGAGACCAGCTTGGCCAATGGCGAAACCCCATCTCTAGGAAAACTACACAAAAATCAGCTGGGCATGGTGGTGTGCACCTGTAATCCCAGCTATTTGGGAGGCTGAGGCAGGAGAATCACTTGACCCAGGAGGTGGAGGTTGCAATGAGCCAAGATGGCGCCACTGCATTCCAGCCTGGGCGACAAGAACAAAATTCCATCTCAGGAAAAATTAAAAAAAAGAATAATCAGTTTTCACAGACATGTAAAGCCATAGGCATCTTAATACCAATTCTTCCTTCTGGAAGAAATGTAAATTCCTGTTAGAACTTCAGAATGAGGCTTGGGAGCTCTGGAGCGGAATCTCAGTAGTGTTACCCTTGAGTATGTACAGTATTAAATCCTGTGCTCTATATGTCCAGGCAACCACAAGGTCCATTCCTCACTTTCAGGAGCTAAGAACGTGCATAAAATTAACACGTGGTCATGTCATCTACTAATCCTGAGTCAACGTTTCCCAGTGTGTTCTGCAGAACTCTATTCCTTCCAGACCATCTGTTCAAAAACATATTTCGACACAGCAGAGAAGGGCCAGATAAGAAGTCTAGGGCACTTTGAAGAGCAGGAAAGCTACACTGGTAGAGAACAGGCAGCTCCAGGACAGGAGATTTCTGATGCTCCCTGATTCCTACTCCTGGCCTCATAATCTGCAAATCCTGTCACTACTCTAGAGAACATCATTTCAACTAAACTAAAGCCATTTCCCTGAACCAGGCCCTCACACATCCAAAGGGAGCGTGTGATAACACTAAGAAGACATTTTGATAACACTAAGAACATGTTTTCTCAGGGGCTCCAGGGCCTCAAGCAAGGACGCTGATGAGAGACAGGGTGGGAGGATGAGCCCTGGGCAGCCAGCTTTGTATTAAGTACACGTTAGTCTTCCATCCGTGTTTGCTAATAGCATGCACCGCAGAATAGTAACACTTAGGTTCCAGAGTGAAGAACTTGGATTTTTTTCCTGTCTGATAACTAGAAATTGTGTATTCCTTTTTAAATCCTGGTTGCTAGAAAGATCACAGTAAAACTGGGTATCTAACACAGATTTCATATGACAATTCATGGATGGAATCTCCGTTTCCTCCTTCTCAAAAACCTAACTGGATTTATATTTTACGTACAATATATAAACTCTTTACTGTAAGTTTTGTCAAAATTTTTCTATAGAATCAAAATAGAAACAAACAGGAAAATGAGTGAATGAATGAATAAATGGTCAAAAGAATGACAAAGAACAGCGTGTGGGTTAAAGAAGAGACATACACAGAAGCCTTCCCTCCTTTCCTTGAGAGTCCTCACTCACCCCATTTTTCTGTTCCTTCCAGAAGCAAGTAACAGCTCACTTAAAGGTTAGTAATTTCGATAAACAAAGTTAACTGGGCAAGAAATTGTTTTTTTACTGGGTGTTCTTTTATGTAAAAAGAGTGCTGTTATTTAAATACAGTTTCAATTTGTTTAGGCTCTTGTCAAAAAGGAGAGAACCCTTATCAACACAGGAAGCCAAAGAACACTCACAATGACAGGTGGAACGCTGCTGAGATTTTTGCAGGTGGTTTAGAAGGACCTTGACCGCTGTAGCCTCCTAAAGATTGTAAAAACCCATTCATGCTTGACTGGGCTCTGAGGAGCGGCAGGACTCTGCAGACCCTCCAACAGTTGTCTTGGCTTCCATTCCCGGGGACAGGCCCAGGGAGTCACGGCTGCTCTGCCCTAAGCTTCAGGATGAAGGTGGCAACTGCAAGAGCAAGTGCCACTGGCCCGGGGATCAGGTTACATTCTCACAAACCAAATGCACTTCAATTCCGAATTCAATCGTTGTGCCTGTCTTCCACATCAGACCTTTGCTCATAAGAAACAAAACTTTTTACTTGTTTGCTGCTTCTTTAAAATTGCCTATTGGGAGGTTGAGGTGGGTGGATCACTTGAGGTCAGGAGTTCGAGACCAGCCTGGCCAACATAGTGAAACCCTATCTTATAAAAAATAAATAAATAAATAAATAAAAATAAAAAATAAAAATAAAATTGCCTAAAACACAAAATGGCTGCCAGTAGTCCTGGATTCTAGTCCTTGAATTCCTACAACTAATTGAGTGACCCTGGGCAGTCTCTTTGAGCTCCTGGGCCTCTAATCTATTACCTACAAAATGAGGGACAAAATTCAAGAATCCCTAAGGACAATGCATCCAGCTCAAATGCTGTGTGATTCTATACCATTAATCGAGGCTGTCTGTCATCTCTGCTTTGAGCACTTTTAAAAACTTTCATTCTTACACTAAAAAACCCTCCGAGAGCCTGGAACACACTGGCTTTCTTATTCTGCCTTTCCATTATGGATCCCGGAGGATTCTTTAGTTTTAGTTGTGAGTTTTCTCTTGCTTAAATTCTAATTTAGTCTCAGCTAAAAATTCCCCCTTTCTTCCTTGTAAACGAAAAATTCCCTCTTTCTTCCTTGTAAACGCTAGAGCTTTGAAGCAGCAGCCTTGGCCTCCTGCCAAGAATCAAAACCAACAGCTTTGTTCTTTTGCTCTGCCTCCTATAAACAGGCTCTGATAGGAAAATGCCGTCGGCTATTTGTTTGGTCTTTGGCTGAGAGCATCTGTAACACACAATGCGGATACCTGTGTACAGGGCCAATGAGAACAAACTGCAGACGACTGGGCATGGAAAGCATGTTGCTGGGGCACAAAATTCCAACCACTGCTCTCACGGCAGTACAAGTATCTCATTCTTCACCTTTTAAAATATTTGCCTCTTGTTTATATAGTGTCTGTATGTTTGCAGAGCACATTCACTGGACACTTTTTCATGGGCTCGGAGGGGTTTGCATTGCAATGAATCTGCGAGGTCATTCTAGTCCAACGCACTGCACAAAGCAGGGGCTATCTCAGAACATTCCTGAGATGTGCTCACCTGCTTAAAATCATTCAGAGGGAAGATGCTCACTTTAAGGCACGGCCCACTTCAGCATCGATCACCCTCATTTTGAGGAAGGTATTCCTGAGAAGGAGTCAAATTGCGCAGCCTGTAACTTCTGTGCGTCAATCCAACCCAAGTTCTCTGTGGCTCTAGACTAGAGGCACTTGTTTGCGAGCAGAAAACAGCACGAGTTGGCTGTCAGCACCGAGAGCCTGCTGTTATGGCAGCCTGCTTGAATCTGATCCCACATATCCCACCAGCTGCTCTTTGACTTTGAAGCTCACACCAATCTATGCACCAAAATCTATGCACCAATCTATGCAACACAGCTACAGTGTAACCAAAATACGGCCAGGGAAGACACTAGTGGGCACAGATCGCTGAATGTCATAGCTGAATATAGTAGCTAAGGGGTCTCCATAAAAAGTATTATCACCAGTTGAGTAAATAAATGGCTCATGGCCTCTCACTTTTATCCCAATTGGAAAAGCATAAGAGATTTTTTATACCAAGATCAAGGAAAACCATGATTTCTGTTTCACGCTGCATTGGGCTAATTGATATTTTGACAATTCAGTTCTGCTAACAATAGCACACACTCGAATTCTCTCTAGGAAGTGAAGGAAGCACTGCCCTGCATTTTCCTGACTTTATGCTTCTACTCTGGTAGTCTTCTAAAGACTTCCCATGGCTGCCCATCTCACTTCCATTAGCCCCTGGACTCACCGCACCCCCTTAGGCTGTCCCTCCTCCCACGTGCCTGGCTCCCGACCACTTCCTTCTGGCTCATGGCTTCAATTCCTTGAGGCCCTGCTGCTTCTCCCCTGAGGAGTGGCCCCTGCACAGTGGCCTCTGTCCTTCCCAGGAGGCCATTTCCCCAGACACCTGCTAGTCTCATTCTACCATGTCCTACAAATCTCTGCTCAAAGGTCACCTTAGTAGAAATCCCTTCCCTGAACTCCTAATGTAGAATGGCTATTCCCCTTTCCGACTTTCTCTCTTTTTCCCCCACAAAACCCATCATCACCTCCTAACATGTATAACTATAATCTCATTGGGAACCAACATTCTGTTTTGCTTACTGCTGCGTCCCCAGCGTTGACTTGCAGGCTGCTGGCATTGAAAAAAAATGTGTATTTGTGCAATAAAATAAAAGAAAATAAGGTAATAATGGTAACGGTATTGTTTCTGCCCCTTCCCCGTCCTCAATTTGGGAGAAAGCAAGTGAGGCTTGTGGCAAAATCTGTAGAGACAAGCGTCTTCTGTCTTCTCCCTCCTTAATTCTTGGCTGGGCCAATCATAGGGAAAAACATCTCAACTCTCTGTCCTATGGATGATCTGAAAAAGGTCTCTGTATGCACTGAAGAA